ACAGAGAGTAGTAGGTGAGGATGATCCGTGAGCACAACGTCAATACACGATGTTGAGCCGTGGGGGGTAAAGTGTGTGGGGAATGTCACCATTTGCTCAAGGCAAAAACAAGAGAAGAGGTTACGGAACTCCCTTCCAGCACGATTCGTGGTGTCTCTAGGAGACCAGTTAGAGTGGTGAGCATTCAAGTCTTCTGCAAGTACAATCGCAGAATTGGGAAGGCTGATATTGGACAGACAGTCCTCTAGGAGGTCACTAAATGCCTGGACTTGGGAGATGCTGTCTCCAGGGGGTCTGTAAACAGAGCAGATGATGAGATGGGAGTGAGGGAAGGATTACTGGCCGCAATTCGAGCCAAACCGCCTCCAGTCCACAGCGCTCAAGGTCGAAGCGGCGCTTGATGGACATGAACGACCTGTCAGCTACAAGAGTAGCAACACCGCCATAGCCTCTTGCTGGCAGTTTATCAGAGCTGGTCGTAGGTGGGCGGTCCAGGCGGTATGACGTGTAGCCTGGAATTGAGACGTCTATGGTAGCTGTCAGCTACGTTTCACATAGGCAGATTATATCTGGAGAATACTGCTCACAGACTTGACTAAGCTCAGCTAACTTATTTACGATGGAGCGGCAATTAAGTGAGAGCACTGAGGAGGATGAAGGTAATTGGGCAGGTTGATTAGGAGTTTTAGTAGTTTGTCGTCCAGAATCAGGAAGGAATGGTGATGCAAATGGAATATGACACACAAACTCACCCATCAACCTGTCCCTTCACAATTTCAACCAACTACCCCCCGACCTGCGTGAAACAAATAGCAAGCATGCGTTTAAATTTTTTTAAATCAATGGCGTCTAGCCTCATTCTATCATCCATATGCTCCTGTAGTAGCTCACACTGCACCCCATCGTCACCCCATCCCCCTGCAATGTGTTGGTTTCCTTACTTGCTAGACTGAATTTGTATGATTCTGGACTGATTTGAATCATATTATCTTCCTTATTGGCCATGGGCGATCGTGGAAATAAAGAATAATATGACCAATAGATATAGAAGGATATGTAACGCAATGAGGGGAAGGGTGTGATGAACTTGCGTGGGGCACAAAGGGTTGGGCAAGAGGATTTAGCTGTTGGCTGTATGTATGTATGTATGGCTGGTGTGTGTCCCCAGCAACCGTAGCGATAGTGTTCATCCATGGGGAAATGTAGCAAACGCCTCAACCATTCCAAATTCATCCATAGCGCAACAGTACAGAAGTACAACTACAAAGAGTACCGAATATAAGTCCCCGAGAACGGGAAACCAAAAAAACAAAACAAAAACGGCAACATCAATTTTTACTGATTATGCACATTGCTTGAAAGCAAATCACAACAATGATTAAGAGTTAAGCTATCTTTTAGCCAAATAGCCAATTTGACGCGGAAATCTGCGATAGTAGTGCAGGACTTCAGGTCGTCTGGTAAATAATTCCAAACAAGAGCCGATTTACTTGAAAAGGACAGAAAGCCAGACATACATGTAGATCTATAGCGATTGATACTCATGTTATGAATTTGTCATGGCAACATGCCTCTGAAATGAGGTTGAAATAAGAATGGAAAAGTCACCAATAAAGGAACGTCTCCATTAATAGCACGGGGCGGAGGTACATTGAAAAAAATAAAGGACCGTGCTTATATTAGAGACAATAGGGTATTTGCGGAAATAGGGTATGATTACATGTATGCATATGGCAGTAACCAAAAAATAATAATAAACCCGACCCACCCTTGTACGGATGAGTGAAGCGACCCGAAACAACGAATAAATTCAAGGTGGCGTCGTATCCTACTCTGTACTCATGCATCTTAGATGGCAGGTTGCATGCACATACTCGTACACCAGTGATGCCATACTCAAAGGGTTACGGCTATCGCCGTCTAATGATCGAGCAAATACATGTACATACTTGTGATAAGTTCTTCACACTCTTCCTGAGCCGACAGCATTTCCACTTGCCATCCACACACTGACAGTCCAGGTTACACTGGCCAGTGTAGCTAGCATTGACTAGGCCTGGGCGGATAATGCTAGCATTATAAGTAGCATTACAGTGTGCGATTTGCAACGAGCATTATGCTAGCATTATAACAATACATTTCCACAAAAGTGGCATTACCGGTATACTCAAATGGCCCAACTTCTGCGAAAACCAGGCTTAGGGTGAAAATCATTTTTTGGAGAAAAGTGATGTTTTGTAAAAAGGTTGTGTCTCGTGGACGCTCAAGTGCAGTGAAGTGGAACCAAAGAGAATCTCGCTTGTTTGAAGAAGTAGCAGTCATGGCAGGAAGGGTTTCAGCATTCAGGGAAGTCAAAGGGCTTCCGGTAGAATATTCCCTGCTACTCCTCTTGTCACAACGAAGAGTTTTTGGGCTGATCGAACGGATTCCATCTCCTACACTCAGGGATGGCGAAATTTCTGCTCTAGCTGCTGCTTGCGGAAAATGGTGAAGAAATCGTCTCCAGTTAGAGTCGTGATGGTGATAGCGAGGAGAACCTGGGCGACATCGATCCAGCCAATCAAACTACGGAGATACTAGCTGTTTCTGGGCCTCACACAAAGGGAACACGCGCAGCAGAGCTCATACGTTTGCAGCGAGTTCACGAGGAAAAAGGCTTGAAGCGCAGTGTGAAAACAGTTTTGAATTGAAGTCCTTTGCGATGAAGTGCTACTGAATGCCAGGAGAATGAGCGAGCAGATCGAGAGGCCTCCACTCGAGACTTTCCTCGCTGAACATCTAGCTGCAAGGGATTGTATACATGTATGGAGCAATAGCAGCATAAAATTGGCACTATGATCATGATTTTCTAGCATTTTCCATGCCGGCTACGTAGAACTACGAAACGTGCACAATATTGCCCAAACCAAGCCATTTTTCCATACTTCTGGTGAATTGCTGGCATTACAGAGGAACAGCAGCATTATAAGTAGCATTATGATACAGTTTTTCTGGCATTTCCATCAGCATTATCCCGCAAAATAACTAGCATTATCCGCCCAGGCCTAGCATTGACACTGCATTCTGTGCAGCAATGCAAAAGGAGACGATACGTTCCCTTGTTGAAGCGCCAGAAATATGTACTTCTTCTTTGTTTCTCATGCCTGGAAATCCTTCTAATATATGCCATGGGCTTGAATAGCGCAACGCAATTCGAGGATTTCATACTAAAACCAGTCAAGCAGTTCGCACCTGGTGTCGAGTTGATGGTAGACGATAGCTGGCTTGAATTTGCGAGGCATCGCCAAATCCGTGCACTAGTTAACTGGTTTTTTTCTAGGAAAGGGGTCTGCATTGGGCCATCCGCACATGCACGTACTCTGGTGTGTTGTCTTTGGTGCAGTACAGTCGGGATTTTATTCAGCTAGAAATCTAGCTCTCACATTCATGTACTTCGAGTACACTATACAGATCGTATTGAAAATTCAAGAGAAACGATAATCCTTGTATGTATCAGCCATTGGTTTTCATCCGTGAAAATCATAAATTGTATTGGCAAGCTGTGAGTCTCACCATTACAACGTTCTCAAAGGCATGTCGCTAAGTCAGAAAGATGTCTCTGCTTCCCACACTCCTTCTGTCCCCAAGTGAAGGAAACTGTGTAAGCTTCGGTAATCGTTTCAAAATACCCAACCCACGATGTTTTGTCTTGTGGTAGGTGAACACCTTGTCGAGTAGTACTACCTGAATTCAAGATCTTGACTGTAAAGGGGAGATGAACCCTGACCAGAACGGGAAGACCATGTACAGCTTTTTTTCATTAGAGCCGGAAGAGCAATCAGTCTTGCTTAATTAACTAGATCCACGCTCCTTACCAGTATTCGTTCTAGGTTCGCGGGTGTGATCCTTGTAGTTCAGCGCCAAGTCTTTGAGAATTTCCGAATGGTCCTTTCCATCCCAGCTCAGTGCGGGAATGGCATTGGTTGAGAAGGTGGCCCGAAGCAGGACTAGCAGCGCGAAGACCTGCAGGGATGGCATTCTTCACTGCTTCTCATAAGCTACCCTCATAAGCCGGCATTAAGTCAGAAAGAGATCCGGGTTAATTTCCTGATTGTGGAGTGAGCAGCAGCAGCAGCTTTATGCATACTGTAGCTGTCGGTCGTTGTCGTCTGTCTCACCCAGGATTCATTTCCGGGCCCAGTACAGTGTACAAGGGGAAGAAACTTCAAGAAAGGCTTCCTTCCCACTTTTTGAATCCCAGCCTGCGCCGTGGGCATGGGAGCCACTGCACGGCACTTCTGGGAACGTCACACGAGCCATGAAAGCAAGGAAATGGACTTGTTGAAAGGCACGGTATGCTCTCGTCGTGCTGCCTTTGAAGCTAGTACATGTGTAGCGGGCCGCAGTCTCTCGGAGGCAAGAACGCACAAGGGTCTCAGTGAACACACTGTAATTGGCAATTGAAATGTACTGGCAACGAAATTAACTTGCAATGGAATTAACTGACTGGCAACTAAATTAACTAACTGGCTATAAAAGAATCGTGAGCAGCAGCTTTGATACAAAGGCAGACTCCGTACGCTAATGTACGGGGATACGCTAACGTATGGGGATACAGTATGGGATACAGTCTACTCGCGATAAGTCACGCACAGTGTCCTGGAACAGAAAATGCGCGACTTACCGCGAGTGCGCGACTTACATTATGCACCACGTCATGCATATGTACAGCCGTCATTTTTTCTTCTGCATATGGACATGTGTGCTGAACACGCGTACAAGCACTGAGCAGCGAGTGAGCTGCACGCGCACGGTACACTGTACTAGTCTACACTGTACACTAGTACACTAGTACACTGTACACTGTACACTGTCTGTACACGAGACGTAGAGATCTACCACAGCGTGAAGCCATGGCATGATCGAGAAAGACAAGACGACGTTCCGTTAGTTTTGGTTTAGATTTGACAAGACGCACTTCTGTTTCCGTCGTGCAACATTTCGTTTCCCTTTGCTTGACGATGCCTTCTCATAAGAAAACGAAAGAACAGCGAACAGTGGCTGATCGACTGCGTTTGGTTCGTCTCTATCGTGAGAGTGGAAAAACGTCCGCTCGAAAATTTGCGAAGTTGAACAATGTTCCGGAGGCGACGTTCCGCGGCTGGCTGAGGGATGCTGAAGCTGGCAAACTCGCCGATGCTAATCCGTCTGGTCCACAGGGAGTCCGCAACAGAAGTTCCCAGTTCGGGAAAATTGAGGAGCGGCTAGTGAAGTATATTTTGCTTCGAAGGGAGAAGTTTGTGACTGACAAACTTGGATTGTCGTGGGTGATCCTGAGGGAGAAAGCTCTCGACTTCGCTAAGCAAGAGCTTGGCGACGATGCCGACTCCTTCACCGCTAGTCCTGGATGGTGCCTCAATGTGCTTCGGCGGAATGGCCTTACCGGCGTCAATCTTCATGGAGAAGGAATGGAGATGGACGAGGACGTTGCATCTGCTGCCATGTCTTCGTTTCGGGAAGGCATAAAGAAAACTATGAGCGAGCGGAACATCCCTCTAGAACGGGTCTTCAACGCTGATCAAACAGGGCTGTTCCACCAGAAGCTACCGAACCGTATCTATTGCCAGCAGGAGGAGAAGAGGACCATTCGTGGAGTCAAACAGATGAAGGCCAAGGAGAGAATCACTCTCATGGTGTGCACCTCTGCTGTTGGGGAGAAAGTTCCACTTGCTGTTGTTGGAAAGTCCAAGCGTCCGCAGTGTTGGGATCTCTGTGGGAACAACCCACCCATGGCCTACACTAATCAAGCCAACGCTTGGTTTGACAAGACAGTGACCAAGTGGTGGCTGCAGGATGTGTTTTGTGCTTGGTACAAGCAGCGTTATGGTGAGCTTCCTTGCATTCTCATCTTGGACAACTGTCCAGCTCATGAAGGTGTGGGCAAGCTTTCACCTAAGTCCGTCATCATCACATTCCTGCCTCCCAACCTGACCTCCCGCTTTCAGCCGATGGACCAAGGGATCATCCATTGCCTCAAGGTCGGATACAAGACTGATCTCCTGCGACGCCTGTTGAATATCTTCGACAATGACAACACAGCAAAAGCAGCACTGGAGGCAGGCAAGAAACAGCGGCGTGGGTGCAAGGGAGTTGCACATGGCCACAAGCCTCATGTTCTCGATGCCATCACAATAATGAAGGACATATGGGATGGGGAGAAGTATGCTCGGCCACTCAGCATCCTGCGGTGTTGGCGAAAAGCAAACTGCTTGCCAGCTGATGCCCAGGAGTCACTGGAGGAGCGTGATGGTCGCACAGCCATGCAACCGCTTGATCAAGAGTCGCTCACTGATCTTTGCACCGCTATGCAGAGCTTATGTGAAGCTGTGTCGAAGAGCACCCAAGCCGGTCCTGGTGTTGAGGACATTGTGGAGCTCGGTGCCATCTCTGAATCGCAATGTCTGGAGGCATCCAAGACATGGGTAGCCATTGAAGATGACCCGCTTGTGAGAGACGTAGAAGTTGACGAATTGATCGAGCATCTGGAGACAGCTACAACTGCAGATGAGGAGTCAGATGGTCAGTTGGATGATGATGCGGAGTCTTCAGCAATGGCTGCAGAGGAAGCGGCAGCAGCACCAGCAGCTAGAGATTCTGATGTCGATGCAGCAATGCTGTTGTTGCTCAATTTCTGCACCACTCGCAACAACTCGGAACTGAGTCTTGCAGCACGACGGCTGGATTACCTGATCCGAAATGACCGAGCTGCCAGCACGACGCTGGTTCAGCCATCCATTCATGTGTTCTTCCCGACTGCAGAATGATTGTGTTTGTTGAGCAACACTGTGTTTGCATACATCATACAATATGCAGATAATAATTATATTCTTACCTTTACAGTATTCAAGCTCCATCATTGAAAACCACATCATTCGCAAATATTCACGAAATCCACGAAATCCACAAAATCCCGAAAAATAAAAAATTCTTGAGATGGGTGTCCTGGATGAAAAAGTGCGTGACTTATCGCGAGTGCGTGACTTAAAAGTGCGTGACTTATCGCGAGTAGACTGTATGCTATACTCTAAACACTAAGCGCTATACGCTTTGAAGTTACCAGCGTGCCAACGCTACACCTCCCCTCTCAAATACAATCACGTCCTCGTGATTCGAATACTACATGTAGGTGATAGCTGGACATCAACAACTGGCTGCTATTTAGAACAAAACTGGCGGCATGCATAGTCGCGTCGGAATAAACTCGACGATAAGAGATAGGCAGAATGGATGACTTGCATAATATAATACAGGTATGGAGTCGTGAACATTATAGTAAATCGCGAATTACTGGGAGAGCGTCAACCGAAGTATGGCAAATAATATCGGAAATGATAACGTTTGGAATAGACAGAAGAATGAACTGATAAACAAATCATAAAGTAGAAGCACACCAGGTTCACACGATCTCACGGGGTCAAAAGGGGAAAGAACTGTCCTCCAAATAGGACCTGAAAAACCACAGCACTCTTGCTGCACAACGCTGGCACAACCCGCCAGGAACATCGCAGTTCAAAAACCGAACTGAATACACTATAACTATAAGGGGCGTTGTCACACACATTGTCCCAAGTTAGCTGGGTAAACTGTGGCTCACCATGATCAGCCGCCTACCAAACTAAACTGGATTCACACACTCGCATAAAGGAAGACTGAAGAGAACAGGGAGACTGAAGGAAGACAGGAAAGAAAATGCCATACCTGGAATCAGCGTTAGTAACCACGGCGGCGGCTGGAGCTATGGCGGAGGGCGAGCCAGGTTTTATCTTCATCTTGGTTGAGCCGGTCACTCAGAGCGGCTAGCTCGGCGTCACACAGATCACCCCTTCCTCGTCTTGAATCGTGGTCTTCACATTGTCGATAGCATCGCTTGGCGCGACGTAAAGAGTGATGGTCTAGCCAGGAAGAGTGTTCATGAAATTCTGCATTCCACCACGGAGACGAAGTACCAAGTGAATATTGGACTCCTGCTGAACGTTGTAGTCACTCAGGGTTCGGCCGTCTGCCAACTGCGTGCCGGCGAAAATCAAGCGCTGCTGGTCTTGGGGAATACACTCCTTGTCTTGGGCAGCAGCCTGCCTGTCGTCGTCCTCATCAGCTTCGCCATCACCACCGTTAGTATGCATGTAGGTAGCGGGTCGCTTGGAATCGCCATCGGAGTCTCCAATGGATGCCGTGCGGAGAGAAGGGTGATCCACGCTAGCACCCTGACTGTGCTGCAGGCTAATAAGCAGGGCCAAGCCCAGGAAGGCAAGAAACATGATTCTCATCTTGATTCGTCGCACGGAGCTGTAGCGGGTTGAGCCATGGGGGTCCGAGAAACGTGTAAAGTAACACAGTTAGGTAGAGAATGAAACAAAATGAATTTACCGCTGCCACCAATTTGTAGCGGGCCGCAGTCTCTCGGAGGCAAGAACGCACAAGGGTCTCAGTGAACACACTGTAATTGGCAATTGAAATGTACTGGCAACGAAATTAACTTGCAATGGAATTAACTGACTGGCAACTAAATTTACTAACTGGCTATAAAAGAATCGTGAGCAGCAGCTTTGATACAAAGGCAGACTCCGTACGCTAATGTACGGGGATACGCTAACGTATGGGGATACAGTACGGGATATGCTATACTCTAAACACTAAACGCTATGCGCTTTGAAGTTACTAGCGTGCCAACGCTACACATGTGAAATAATTACTTTAATAGTTACTGCTTGCTCCGATCCGAAAATCAACAACCCCCTACTTATCTTTATCGCCGTGGTTGGCTACCAACCACTCTATTCGCATTGCTGCCCCGTGTTTCTACCGAGCTATGCACAATATCACTTCTGCGATGCGATGAGCGACGAGCCATGCGATCGAGAGTTGTTTCTGCAACATTTTGAATCGCAGGTTGTCGCAGCTCCGTCGCGCAGGTCTCATCGCGGAAAGTTGAGCCTGGATGTATGTGCACAGTCGCAGACTAGACCACATAGGACTTTCAAAGTCAGTAAGGAACTTAGGAGCGCACAGGTGGTCAAGGAGGAAAAGGCATGACAGCCATCATTAGCATTTTCAGTATGGGGAGGTTGAGGCTCAGGTGGTGGTGCTAGGGAATCAAAGGAACGCAGCAGTCACTGTGCCAGTGTTACACTCAAGAGTGGTAAGTGCCACTAGCAAGAGTTCGATTGGCCCGAAGTGGTATTTCGCAACAGCTCTAAATCAGGGCATACAAAGTTGGGATAGAGGGAATTTAGTTTCAAGCACAACCTGAATGGTCTGTCGTTGCTTTGCGAGCCAGGCGTAAGGTTCGCTGTGCTGTGAGAAGGTGCATGCAGTGCACTAGCATACTGCCGCAGCGCTTGCACAGGAAATATTCCTTTGTTTCTGCTTTTGAGGTTGTCAACGCCACCATTGCTTTCCCCAGAACCAAATCACAAAGTACAATCATACATGTATCAGGCGCGTGCTCGGCGATGGGCACGGGGGGCACGTGCACCCCCCAACAATTTTCAATCTGGGTAATTGCAATTGTAATGTATGCAAATATGCTCTAAAATTCAAGAAAGGTTGCAAACAAATTGCAGAAAATTGCCGGGGGGGGCTCCCCTCGGCTCCCGTGCACCCCCCTAGTTGGGGGGCCGAGCACGCCCCTGTGTATATAATGCAGATTGAGTATATAATAGTATACGTAGAGCAGTAAGTGAAACCAGAATTTCTTCGTATTGGTCGAGAAGACTGCGGCTGTGGTTTAGACCGACAGGAGAATGAGGTTTCTCCAGGCCGCGGTCTAAACCACAGCCGCAGTCTTCGCGGCTCCAAGAAGTACTCCTAGCAGGGTGACCACGTCGTCACCCTGCTAGGAATACTTATTGGAGCCGCCCTCCTAACCAAAGCCATTCAGGCACCGAAATGGGATTGGAAGGATCACTCGGAAATTCTGAAAGACCTGGTGCTGAACTACAACGATGACGCTCCAAAATAAAAGCAAGAACGGACCACGCTTTTCCGCTCCAAACAGGATTTGACGCTGATACGCCATTGAAAATACGGCAGAACACACCATACATACGAGGTCTGACGTCGTGTTGCCACGAATGTCAAACCTTTCAAAGGTAGTCAGTGAATGGTTCAACACTATCTCTGATCGCAGTTGTGAATTGAACTGCTGTGTCTGATCGTTGTTGCGAAATTGAAATGTAACAGCTTTGGCAAGTACAGTGGTGCTATTATATCAACCCAAAATCCTTCGTAACAGTATACATTATACTAGTAGAGTGAAACTGCATGAAAAGTCATTCAGCTGAAGGAGCATGAACAACGAGTACATACAAGTCATGTACATGTACAACTATAACAGTCATTGCACTGCAAAACTTGCGTAATGCAAAGTTTGCCGACTACCACGTAGGCCTAGGTCTAGCTTTGCGGTGATCAATGGCTTGGCACGGTGCCAGTGGTCATGTCGTTTCGACTGCTTCAAACCAGAACTTAAAAGAGACAAGCGTCCTACTCGACAGTATGGTGCTTTTTCTGCATGCTTCAAACTAGTTTTTATGGCGTTGGTATGCCGAGGGCGAGGTCGGATGATGAACGGTATGGGGAGAACACAGAACTGCTGTTGACAAGATGTCATTGAGCTGTACCCCATCGGCCGTGCAGGGCCCGGTTCGAGTTCGCGTTTGAGGACTAGTACTCCATGGAGCAAGGCCTGTGAAGACGACCCAGCAAGGGTGGCGAACAGCTGTACCTACTCTACTCTTCACCTTCTTGGAAAATGTCAGTGTTGCTTGTGACGAGCCTGAGACCTTTCCACTCCTTAATTGCTCATATCCGTGTATAAGCACACGCACGGGCCCACATACACACACAAACACACACACACACACAAACAAAGAACACATTCATGTATTCTTGATGTTATTACTGTATTGGGTGAATCACTTTGACATCAACATACTCGTTACTGATTTAGTGTTATTCCAACGCCCTCCGCCAGTGTAGTGATCCGGTCCTTGCTGCTGGACCTCTGGATTTTAGCAGCCATGACTGCGCAGGCTATGCCGGATATTGTTCTATTAGGGGTCGTCCACAAATATCGATGTTTTTTTAGAGAAGATATTCGTTCGTTTGGGGGGGGGGGAGGGGGTTTGGGCCCTGTTCGTCTCGTCTTTGCAGAAAAAATATCGAACTCTATCTATGGACGGGCGCTGTTCGAACATGTAGTTTATGACCTACACAAAGTGAAAGTCAACCTCGTGAGCATAGCCATGGCAAGGTTGTGCGATCGTGGCAACAATAACCTAGTTGTATGGCGAAATTAGAGTGGCAGCTGGTCACGTTTCATGAGGAAATTGAACTTCATTAAAAAATATCGATACCTTGCATAAACATGTGTATGTTCGTTTTGAGGGGGGAGGGAGGGGAGAAATGAACAAATATCGTCTTGAAAAAAACATCGATATGGGGAAATGAACAAATATCGTCTTGAAAAAAACATCGATATTTACGGACGGCCCCTTATAATTAAACAAATTGAGATAAAGTTGATGTTCGGTCATGATGGAAGTAGAGGTGGAGCTTCGGGAGAGATGAGCTGATTAATCGCAGGGTGTCGGTTGACATCGGTTGGACGATTGCGAAGACAATTGAACCGTGATGATAATTTTCAAAGGTAACTCAAACTAATTTGGCAATGAAAAAATCTTTTTACAAAAGAAGTCAACTAATGAATAGAAGAAGTAATGTTTTCTCTTTTCCATGTTGATCTCTAGCATGCATGGACACC